CATTAAATGATGCTATGCGTTTTTGGCACTTTCGGCTTTTTGTTCGTGACATTGGTGGGTTGTTAATTAATCTATAATGATTTTTATCATCTGATTGTATAACATTTCTTTCTGGTTCTGCAAGTTGCTGTTCCATATCTGCTATAAACTTCTGATGCATCTCATACAACTTCTCAGTACCACCAGTTTCAATTGCCAGATTCAAGGCTTTTTTTATCAAACCAAAGCCTTTACCATAAAGAGAATGATTCTTTACATGGTGCTGTACCTTAGGTGTGAAAACATATTGACCACGTATTGAATCAATCAAAGTAAAGTCAATTTGGATTTCATGTTCAAATGTACCAAGATTTTGACCATTTCTAATTGAAATTGCATGTTCATTACTGATCTTTTCATTTTTTTGTATCATCTGATCATTAAACCAACATTTTGCCAGGATTTCAATATGAAACTATGCTATTCACTTTCTAGTAAAATGGCAAAAAAAAAAAGACAAATAATGCCATGATTTACAAGTATCAAACACGTATACAAATGACTCACATTACCAAATAGAATGACAAAATGATGTTTTTGTTGATCTATATGTGATACTGCCCAAAGCTCTCTGATATCATTGGGGCTAATCCTATCAATAAGTTCAGTCAATTCAATCAGAACTTTATCGTACAAATCCTCACTAAACATGCCCTCTGGTAGATTCTAAATAAAAATCAATAAAAAAAATAATATAATAAAATAAAATCAAGTCAACACATTAATAATTCAACCTAATAGATCAGAAATTATATAAATTTAACAAATGATTGATGCCAAGGGAAAATAGAACATCATTTATCAATGATTATTTAAATAAATAATAATCTATAATAAACCAATGTCTCATTTTTCTTTGGTATCTCTCAAATAAAATATGATCACATAATAAACTCTATAATTTCTAACTAAAACAACCCACAAAAATTTAAAAATGATGGTTAAAACTTGTAGTTGTATTAGCATACCATTTCACTAATATCTTGCTGTTGCAATTCCATCTCCAAATTCGTATGATAAGCTCAATAATGGGGTATTGATCTATCTAATACTGTTGTAGTTTTTGTATTGCTATTGTAAGGAACTTTGTGCATACTTCATCAATTGCCATGAAATAGTGGTCTCGATATAATGCAAATACAACATGTGATAACTCTCTACTGGTTTCGTTGAATCTTACAAATTGTGACTCTTTTATAAGATGTCGCTTAATTATACCTACTACTTCCAGTAATAATAATGTTCCATTTAATAATTTTTTAAGGATCATGTTATAACCTTCAACCCTTTAAGTTAACTGTATGCTACAATTAAAAAACTGATATGTAAATACAAGAACCCATGCTTCTTGATGGAGATAAAGTTGATGTTTTAGATAAGACTGTATCTCAGGATATGAATCTATAACCTTTTGCTAGTTTCATTCAAAAACAATCTCTATAGTGCTATTTCGTGCACAACAAAAACTTGTAAAGAACTCTCTAAATTTTTCCCCACCAAACTTAGAAAAAAAGTGCTTTTCAAGATTTTTTTTATATAGAACAAACAGAAATGATATTTCGTGTTAGGCCACACACTCTCTATTGTACTAGTTAAAGCTGGGTCCGCATCTGTATAAACAATCTTTGGTAACAATCCCTTAATTAAAAAAAATAATAAATAAGAATAAAAAAAAATAATAGATAATGCAAACTAAAAACATATATATAACCAAATTAGTAAGTCAACAACCTGTTGCATCAAGTAACCCCTGCAAGATCTATTCAAAAGTTACTTTTCGTTCATCTATTATTAAAGCTGTTGCAACAAGATGAGACCTATTATGGTTATCTACACAAACTACAACACATATAATCATATTAAACTTATTAGTTTTGCAGGTCGTATCAAGTAAGACGATATCATGAAAATGACTCCAAATATCAATTTGCTTAGAGTGAAGCTATATAAGTCCCACAAGATGATTGTTGCTTCCTTCAAATTTCGTATCAACAAACCAACTAGACATTTTTTGTTTGTGACGCATTAATTCTTTGTAAGTTGCCTCTGCATCGCTTAACTTTCCTTTTTCTACTTTGATAGTTTGAACAAGATTATAGACACAACATGTATATATATACTGGTCTGGATACTTGTACGTCAATACATTAATTATTGCTCCAGTATATACATTGCTAGAAGCAAGGAGCTCAATATCCTCTCGCATTTCTGGTATAAGACAGTGATACTGAGGTGCAATCATATGTATGTTTTTACTTATTGGATGTGAGTGTTCACCAATTATGTCTGAGATATGTATTTGGTTGTTATTCTTCTACCTTTAAAAATTAATGTGAAACCTACACCCAGTACTTTTGTATTCCTTATTCCTTTCTTCTAATGTGTGTACTTTTTTTTGCCTCATAACGATGTCTCTTTGAACAGTAATAGACACGATGTCTTGGAATCTTATCATCTTTATCTAACTCACTTTTTGTTAATAAAAAGACAAACCCTCATTCATGCCCATGTTTGGCAAGATAACTTTCACAAATTAATACTTGATAATATAAGAAAAAAAAAAAAACTTCATTTATACTTTTCAATATCCTTCTAATCTATAAAGCTTTGTTCTTTTGTTAAGGGATATAATTCTTCCTCTGAATCAGTGAATTCATTAGTTTCAGTTTTAGGTGCAGTTAAATCATTAGTTTCTTCTATTATTTGTGGTTGCCCATTAAAACTTTCATCAAACATATTTGGCTCAGTATTACTTGCAAAACATAAGTCAGAAATATCAAATTTATCTTCGCTTGCTATCTTTAAATGAATGTTACTATTTAGGTTCTATTAGTTTTTATTACAAATATGCAAGTTGTAGATGCAACGCTAACTATTATATAGTTGTATAAAGTAAAAGTCAAATTTAGTATGTATTTAAAATGTTTAACAGGTAGTAAAGGTTAGTAAAGATAAGAGTTAGTGAAAGTAAAAACTATGTCGTATCATATGTATGATCTATATCGATCATACATAGCTACATGTAAAGCATATCATGCATATGATCTATAAATTATATAGTTACATGTAATCATATTATGCATATAGTCTATAATTATAGTTACACAAATAGGTGATAAACTACCATAGGTGTATTTTATAATAATTGTTAGAAATATAGTAATATAAAATATAAAAGTTAAATTTTTTAAATATTTATTATTTCTATTTGTAAATATTTGTGAGTTTTAATTATTTATAAATTTTGTATTTTAATTAACTAATTAGAAGATATATTACTATGCAAATATACAAAAAAACTAAACATATAATATATTATTAAAAGTAAAAATAAAATAATATAAAATACTTGATATTTAATTTTCTCTATTAATTCTCTATATACAAACTTACAGAAAAGTATTTTAACAGAGAATACAAACAGTACTAGAAAATCTAGTTGAAGTTTAAGAAAAAGAAAGAGTATACAAAACAATTCTCAGTCTCTTAAAAGACTAGAGTAAAAAATAAAAGTAGTAACAACATAAAAAAAATTAAATTTTTATTAAATTTTTGTTTACTTAATTACTTTGAAGAATTAAGCTTAACTCTATAATACAAATTTATTGTTATTATACAAGATCTATTAAGATTTATATAATGAATACAAACAAAATAATACAAACAAAATAATATAAACAAATAATATAAACAAAATAATACAAATAAAATAATACAAACAAAATATATAAGTAATTATACTGTATAAAGCAAAAAAAAATAAAAGATTCTAAAAAAGACTTTATTGCAAAATTAGTATAACAGTATATAGAAAACTATTTAAAGAACTTAAATTATATAATACAGAACAAATTAACTATATAGTAGATATACTAAAAAAGAAAAATTTAAAAAATATAAATTAGTAATTTAAGAAGAAATAAATCCTGTACTAGTTATTTTATATTAGAAATTATAGTAACAATAGGAAAGCTAAGCAAAAAAAGATTACAATAAGTAAAACAAAACAAAAATAAATAAATTATTTAGTAAACAAAAGTTAAAGTAGAATCTTAATAAATTGAAAGACTTAAAAAATATAGACAAAATAGTAAAACAATTTAACAAAAAGCTTTAAACAATTATATAGCAATTTAAAAATTAGTTAATATATTAGCAAAATAATGGACACTCTTACTGATGATCATCTGGTTAACAAAATTAAAGAAACTGAACTATGGTGAGCACTATAAAAAATGCTTAAGTAACTAATAAACTTGGTTTTACAGAAGTAGATATATTGTTAACGAAGTACCAAGAGTATAAAACCAAGAAGCAGTCTACTTTGAACTAGTTTTTGTAAAGATTAAGCTTTGGTCAGTAGACTTCTCTATTATATTTGGCATCTAAACCAAAAGGGTATTTTGGAAACATAAAATAACTAGATCGATACCAGGAGTATTACAAGCTTTAGGTTTATCTATACAACTATAAAACTTACAAGAAACAATCACAGAAAAGTTTTGTTAGCCACTACTTTTTTTTTAAGAAAATTTTGTCAAAAAGTGGGTGTCTCAGCTTACCCCCTTCAAAAGATTGATATGTAATTTTCCAAAACAGTTAGTATTGTTTACCTGTTTACGTATATGAATAGGATTTCTAAAATGAGATAACAGACAAATATCTGAAATAAGCAACCAAGTACAGGCTATTAGACAATACAAATAGGATATGTGCCTTAAATCGAAAAAACTGTTAAATAATACTTCAAAGCTTCTGTTCAGATTTCAGGCTAACTCTATCTAGATTGACTATAATTCTAGTTTTAACTAGCTTTTTTAACTTTTTTCATCTTTACACATAGTTTATTAGGATAAAAAATGTTATAAAGCTTCTTTATTTAGTATATATAATTTTTAAAGCCTAATACAGGCTGATAATTGTGACTGTCAGATTTTTTTCTCTTCTTTTTTCCTATTTTTGTCTTTGTATTTGTTTTTAGTATTAGTTTTCATTTTTTTTCTTCCCTTTTTAGGATTAGTATTAGTATTAGAGGATTTTTTGTTTTTTTTCATTTCTCTACGAGAAGATGTTATCAGATTGGTAATATCCTATTGTAGGATGGTAGTCTGACAAGGCTTCTGGGTTGGCTTAGATTATTCTGACTTAGGTTATTGAGATCCTTTAGAAGAAGTTCAGTTTGGTGCAGCTAGTCTCTTATAAGTGCTTTTAAAGTAACTGCAGAATATCAGATCTAAATATTAAGCTCAATATTGTATCATATCTGTAATACAATAATCTTAATAAAAGAATTACTGGCAAGACAGCCTAAGTGAAAAAAATAGCAAAATAATAAAAAAATTAAAAAAAAACTTACAAATTAATAGAAAGTAAAAAGAAAAAAATAAAGAAAAATTAATTAAAACTGCAAAAAAATATCAAAGGTCTTAAAAAAAA